CTGACGCAATCTGAACACCCACCTCCTGACTGCGAAAGGCGCTACACATAACTACAGCCTCTGCAATGTACTGTTCGGAGGTTAAATTTACTTTCTGCGAATACACTATTTCTGGTACATTATCCGAGCTCGAGTTTTACGCATTTAACGCTATTTGCATATTCGAAAGTGCAAAGTTGCATTTTCCAGTATTATGACTAATGCCTAGTCTGACTTGGACCGTATTCTCCCGTCTGCGGCGTTCTTGACTTTGTCCTAATATCGGGCCCAGGTAGGGGAGGGGAAGAGAGAGTGAAGTAAAGGCAGCGCAAGTCACCGTCCCTTCATCATCCTGCCGTGCAGCGCATGGTGGACCTCGTCTAAACAGACAGAAACTATCCAAGGCTAATTTTGGTTATCGTTTAAGCTTCACGGACTAAGCATAAGATAGGTGAATAAATTATTCTCGTGGCTGAAGCCTTACACATTACAGTGTAGGGTTGTGAAATACACTGTAAGAATGCATAGTCCGCATCCAGTTCAAGAGGGGACTGATTTCAAATGCATCTTTAGAAATTATTTTGAATCGCTGTTCCATGATTATTCTTTTAATTACTTAAACATTATACATTTTCCATTTGCAGAAATTCTTTGTCAAGCCAGCATTGATGGTGATTACCTTTTGATCATTTATGCGGTTTCTACACCTCTAACAGACAGTCAGTCAAACTATATTAACGAAATGTCGCAACTGACCCACTTCCTTTTTTGAGTCTAGTGCCCCAGTAGCACGTGCAGATCAGGTGGACAAAATCTGGCATATGTATCCGGATTTTTCCAATTGGATTCCATGATGGAATCCGCTTGGATTTGCTACTAGGGTGTACGTGGATCAAGTAGACTGCGAACGGCTGGAATTGCCCAAGATTACGGTTGTCCATCCTTCGCCTGCTGGGACAATCACAATTTCATCTTCGCTCTTGTATTCACGAATGGCCCCTACCGTCGTTAGAAGAAAGTAAAACCAGTGAGACAGTTTGATGGTCACACTAGACCGTTTGGCGCGACAAGACAGACGAACCATTGACTTGTGAGATAGTGAGCGATGGAGAAGGGAGAAAAATGACAGCTTCCTGTGCTAGAGGGGCCTAGTAGCAAATCCAAGCGAATTCCATCATGGAATCCTACTGGAAAAATCCGGATACATATTCCGGATTTCTATCGAGATTTTGTCCACTTGATATGCACGTGTTACTAGGATGGCCCGAGAAGAAGACTTGGTGGTTACAACAAGCGCTTTTTGTGCCAGATCTTTCGGACTCATACTGGGATCTGCTATGTATGCCTACACGTGATGTCGCGACAAGGCGTTTATCTCTTCTTTATTCTGACTGGCTATCTTTCAGCCAATCACGTTTAAGCCCCACCATAAAGCCCTTTTAAGTAACATGACTCACACACACAAAACAGTTCCTTCATTCTGAACACACCGCCTGCTTACGGACTGCCTTCTGTTTTGTCTATACAACATTCTGCCTACAAACTGCCTTCTGTTTTGGATACATACCAGGATCCATCACCAGAGTGATAATCAGCCAGAGATAATGCTTTGCACAAGTTTTGCAACACATTCTCTTGCTCCAGCGACCGCGTCTCCTACCTCTTGACTGTTTCCTGAACCTCACCTGTTTGCTTCTATCATTCAGTTGTTTGTCAAATGTACGTTAAATGCCCATGGCAAATAATCCAGTAATATCCGTTCGGTTCCTTCCTAACCTGGTGGAAAATACTCCTTGATTGCTGCTTGCTTATTCCCTGTGTGTCTGTGCCTGTTAGGGTTGCAAATGTAAAGCCCGCATATAAACGGAACACCTGCATTTCAAATCGCAAACAAGACCGACCAGCGAAATTTACGCATATGTAGCCGCTCCCGTCATAAATAAGCTTGCTAACAATTTGAAGTGCTATTCGGTATCTAATGATAAAAAATAAGAAGCCTAATCAATTTGCGACAAATAAAGTGGACACTAGCAGTAACTATGTTCCAGAAAACGCATTGGAAAACCAGTGGGAGACTTTGATAGATGGAGTTCCTCGCGTGCGGTCGGACTGATTAGCAATGCCATCAAATTGTCGATACCCCTCGACCTTAACTGACAATACAAAGAGCTCGTGGTCCAATGGTTAGGGTGTTTGATTCTTATCAAAAGGGTCGCGAGCTTGAGGCTCCGGTGGGGCACCACTTGGGTCTGAGTATGACTGGCTGACGACAGGCAATAGGCCAGAAGTGACCATTTCAGTCT